TCGCCACAAATAGCTCAGGCCTCCGTAAGCGATGGGTAACAACTCGGGCCTGTTTATTCTCCGGCCAAGCCCTCACGGCCCCCACGGCCCCCACGGCCCCCACGGCCCCACGGCCCCAGCGCCTTATCCCCTGGGCCACCTTGCGCGGTAACTAAAGCACGGCCTCCTCGAGACGCACGGCCGTGCAGCGCGGCGCCCATTCCGGCGGCGAATTCAAACAAGCCGCAAATCAGGCGGCCGTGCAAATGGGGGCCTCTGTTTGGGGATTCGGGGTGACAAGTGGCTGGTCGGGCTGGAACGTGTAGTTGATTTCACCATCCTGCCTCACGTGCAGTTTTCGGTCGTTCAACCACAATCTAGTAGTAATGCGTCATTTTTTTCTGCCTAGCTGATGATATACCACTTGCGGCTTCACGCCGATAGTGTGAGCCGTTACTCCTGATAACATTTTTTTCCTGGGCCTCTATCTGGGCGCGAATTTGGCTCCGGAGGGAAGAGGGGCCCTGGCAGGCCGTGTGATGATGCCGTGATCTTTTTACCGCGGCGGGTGATGGCTCCGATTTATGGCATCGATATTTATCCATATTTATGAGTTTCTTTTCACGTCTGGGCCGGAGCTCGGCTGACAGCCGTGTTTTCGGAACCAACATTTTTTTCCTTGCCGGGAATACGTCTCAGTTATATAGGCCCCTTGTGTACTGGTCGTCCTTCTGCGGGGTAACAGTGTCACGGAGAAAGATGACGCGCCTTCCCTTAGCAAATCTGCGATATTGAAAACAAGTCTAATTTATTTCTTGTTTGGGTTAGCCTTTCTTGTTTAGCGTTAGCCTTATTTTTCTCTTCAGTCCCCCTCTACGCGTAAGGAGCGTGTGGCACGGCTACCATGTAATAACAGGCAATCCACGAGGTAATCTCGTAATTTTTTTCTGGAAATCTTTCAGATTATTCTAAGAGCGCTCATAAATAACTAAGACACACCCACGATACCATCACCTTTTCCACCTTGAGAAAGGTCAACAAGGGGTGAACTGCGGTCATAATATTTCATTCAATTTTTAAGGGTCCCGGCGAAGTGGAAGACACCCCAGGTGGAGGCACGGTCTTGGCCCAGATAAGGAACAGCTTCCCTCGAATATGTTTGAATATTTTCCAATGGCCTGCGCAAACTTAATCTAATTTGCATAATTTTAATGGCCTGCTATCGCCGAGAATCAAGCGGCCCCTTTACCTTGCGCTGTGTATTAACCCCTTCCGCTTAACTTTACCACTTTGGCGGGCTGAAGTTAGTCGGACTGCCTCGTCGGCCTCGTTGCCCCGGTTCACGCACTTTCCCGCCGGCCACGCCAGTTACTGTTGTCGAAACACTGAAAGGCGAAGAGACGCGGCGTGGGGCCGAGGGATGCCGAGAGGCTGCCTGCCTACCTGGCGGGCCTGGCAGCAGGGGCTTTGGGGGATCGAGGGTGAGGCTCCGAGATCCCCGCCCACCGAGCCACCGAGCGCGGCGTGGTCTTCGTGGACCAGGGGGCACTTCATCACTGCCTGCCCCACGGATATTGCGCATTCCTGCCTGCTTTGGGCCCAGCGTTACACCCCCCCTCCCCCCACCTCCTTACCCGCTGCCCTTTCTATAGTCACTTCTTTATTTTCGTGTTGCTTAGTTCTTACAACCTCTGTTTCAGCAGGCCAAGGTTTTTATTGCCACCCTTTTTTTTCGCTATGGGTGTACCCGCTTTTTGGTACGGTTTGCGGAGCTTGCGCCCTTGGCCCGCTTCCGCCTTCCCGAGGCCCCCTGCCGGTTGGCGTGCTGGGGCCCTCGCCTTGAATGCGTGCCGCGGCCAAGGCGTCTGTGTCATTGTGTCAAAGTAAGCGGAGAGCGTCAAGAGGCGTCGAGCAGTCGTGTGACAAGTGTATCATGGTGCTGATGCACGTTCCCCCGTATCCGTGTAGGGGTGTGTGTGTGGGGGGGGGGGCGGTTCTCAAGTAGGGGGATTGGATGCCGGGTCTCGCCGGACGCAAAATATGCCCCCGGAATCGCTGATGCTCCGCGCCCCGCGCCGTGCCCCGCGCCGTGCCCTGCAGACTGACTCCGAGAGTCGTTTTCGTCGCCTCGTCTCCCTCGCGCTCACGGGGCGTCCCGTATAGGTGCGAGAGAGACAGGGGCCCCGAAAGCGACTCTCGGAATCAGTGTGCCGCCTGGAATCCCGCCACCCCGTGTGCCGTCGTATACCGGCCCCGGGTTCGGTTCGGTCCGGACAGGGTCGAAATATTAGCTGCCGGTCGGGGTGGGGCGGACACGCCGGCTGGCCCGGCCTGGCCCGGCCCGGCCTGCCGTTGTCGACAAACGGCCCGAGCAGTACGTCTTGGCCGCTGAATTTTTCATCCGTATATCACCGGGCTGTCACCTGCAAAGCCTGCGCCTTCCGTCCGGCTGCTTGCCGCTCGCCAGGGCGGTCGCCTCGCCAGGGTCGCTCGGCCAGCGGCGTCACGCAGCTGCCGGCAGTTGCTTGGATTGTTTGTGGTCGCTGCCACCCGTTCCCATTTTTTTTCCGCGATCCACGGAAACGGGCCGCTGGCGGCCGGCACACGCCACAGATTGAAAATTCCGTCCTGCCGGAAAGCGGCAGATGGATTCCGCGACTGTGTTGACGGGCACGATGTGGAGGGCTTGCTTGTGCGCGCGGCCTGCCGTTGGCCTGCCTCGCCTTCCCAGGAAACAACGTACCTGCCGGCTCCCATCGCCTCGCCTCTGCGGGCTGCTTCTGACCGGAGCGCCTTCTCTCTCGCACCGCTGCGGGAAGCCCCCGAGTGCGAGCGAGGACGGAGAGCGCCCCGTTCGGCATCGCCCTGCGTCCATTAGTGGATATTTGCTCTCGCTCCGGCGGCGCGCGGGCGGCCGTAGGGCGGGCGGAGATGCGAACAACATTTTCGCGAGGAAGATGCGCGCGGAGGCGGCAGGGACCAGATCAAATATTTCCGACTTTATCGCGAAAGGGAGTTGCCGAAGCACGGCGAACGTTACCTCGTCGGTCCGACGGTCGCTGCGCGCACTTTAGTGCCACTGCAGCCGAACCGATAAACAGTCGATCGTTGGACTTTGATTGCTCGTTGCAATTATTCCCTGCAGGTGACGCGTCCTTTATACCGGCGTCCGGTTTCGCGAAAACCGTGTCCTTTTTTCCGCGCCACTGCAAAGGCAGCGGTAAGAGGCTCAGGCTGCTTGCACACACCGCCCCTCCCCCCAGGCCCCGGGCCAGACCCCGGGCAAGCCGGCCACAATAATCCGCATTAACTTATCTCCCTCCAGCCTGCAGCTCTAATAACCGCTTTCACGTTATGACTCATAAAGCGATCCCGTCGCCGTAAAGCACTCCGGCACCCCTTCTCCTACCTGCAGGCCCCGTCCGGCCAGCCCCGCGGCCCCGCGGCCCTGCGGCCCCGACACCATCAAATATTCATAAAAGTGTCGGACGGTCGGCCCCCGCTGGGCTGCACTCGGCGCTGTAGACGCTGAGGACCCGGCCGCCGGGACCGCGACGGGCCGCCGAGGTGTTGGCAAGGTCGGGAAGGTGCTGCAGGCTGAGCGCCGCTTCCGTCGCTCTGTCTCCCTCGCACTCGCACTGTGCGGATGCGAGAGAGACAGCGCTCCGCGCCGTGAACCCACCTTGCGATTATTGACTTGGACTTTGCCAGGGTCCGGATATGTCAGCCCGACCCGGCCGCTCCGCCGTGCCGCGCCCGGGTTACTGAGTTTGCCGCGCGCAAACACGACCTTGTTTCCCTCCCGCGGGAAAGCGGGGAAAGCTCTCAAGATTTTCCGCCGCCGCCGCGCCCGGCGCCGCTTCCGTCGTTAATCACGTGGCCACGCGGCGTGGCAGGCGGATTTTGACGGGCGACAGGCAGCAGGCCGGGCCGTGGTCGGTGAGGCGGGTGAGCGGGGGCGGTCAGCCAGCCGCGTCCCTGCCGGACAGCCGGCCACGCCCTGCAGACCGATTCCGAGAGTCGTTTTCGCCGCTCTGTCTCTCTCGCACTCGTAGGGCGTCCCGCATAGGTGCGGGAGGACAGAGCGACGAGAACGACTCTCGGAGTCGGGCAGCTGGCGGCCATGCCGCCGGAAAACCGTCACCTTTTCAGCTCATCAGACAGCTAAACGGCCACTTCGGAAATTACCGCTGTTATCTGACGCTGCCGTCAGTCCCGCTGCTGTTTATTTTTATCTTTATCCCCATCGTCTGACGACCCGACGCGCGGGTCAGGCGGGCCGGGGCACTGTAGGGGGTGGGGGGCACTGTCTCATTCTTTAAGTCCGGCCTGCTTAGACTAAGAGGGTCTTGTGCGCGTGGGCCTTGTTCTGACCGCTCTCCTGGGCCGCCAGCAAGGACCTCGGCAGGACCCGCAACTGTCCGTAAGGGAGCAATCGCACCGAGTACTGGGGCCGGCCCTAAACGCCCGATGTTTGTGTGGGGCTCGTTGCCGGGCAAGTCGGACTGTAAACAGCGCACACATACACTCACACGCCCTCCACCGCGGAGCCGCGGAGCGCGCGAGGGCCGTCGGCCCAGCACCGCCAGGCAGACTGATTCCGAGAGTCGTTCTCGTCGCTCTGTCTCTCTCGCACTCACGAGGCGCCCGCCCTGGTGCGAGAGAGACAGAGCGACGAGAACGACTCCCGGAATCGGTCTGCGGGGCTGGCCCGGGCTGGGCTGGACCCTCCAGCACAATCTTGGTATTGAGCGCGGTCCCTGGAGCGCCTGGGAGGTAGGCAGCCCGGCGGACAGGCCTGCCCTGGGGTTGCCGACTGCCGTTGTTGCAGGCGCTTCCCACACGGCCAGCAAGGCCCGGCCCGGCCTCCTCTTGGAGTGGAGGGACTCTCATTTCACAGTTTTCCTCGTTGCCTCTCCTCTTTTTTGCCTTCTCTCTCACTTTCCTCCTTTTTTCTTCTTCTTCTTCTCACGCTCTCCCTCTCTCTCTCTCTTCTTCATTACCCTGCTGCCCAATACACCATGTACTTGTGTAAAAAAAACAAGTCGACGAAAAAACGCCTACGTCGTGTTTCTGCCGGGCTTTGCTGCTTGGACCTTGCTAGAACAATTTTAATAATGAGATGACGTCCTGTTTACATTAGGCGCGTGCCAGCACGCGCGTGTGTGTGTGTGTGTGTGTGTGTGTGTGTGGTGTGTGTGTGCGTGTGTGTGCGTGTGTGTGCGTGTGCGTGCGCTGGAAAGTCGAGAGTTTGTTCCCAAGGCAGTGGAAAGGGCGCGCGCTGGCGGTGTCAAAGGCAGGCAGGCCGATGGGGTTGCCTCCTTGGGGGACGCTCCGGGGCCCGCGGGTCGTGGCTGGAGAGGGGGGAGGGGGGCTCCTTTGTGGCGTGCTGGCTCATTTAGTGGGCACTGGGACCGCGGCGACTGCGGCCCGGCAGACACAAAGGGACTGCGCGTGGTGAAGTGCGCAATTATTTACGGTTTTGTTGGTTGTTTTCTGTTGCAGTCGTGACCCTGCACTCGGAGGCCGTGGCGGGCGGCGTGGCCAAGCTGGCGTGCGACATCACGCCGCCCATCGTGGGTGACAAGGCGACCCTCGTCATCTGGTTCAAGGAGGGCACGCCCAAGCCCATCTACAGGTAAGCATCACGTCACTACAAACCTAACTGTCCACTAGGCTATACAGTTAAGTTTGTAGTGTGCAGCTCTTCACTTCAAAGAGTTTGTTAGGTTCCTTAATAAACTTTCAGAAACACCGATGCATTTTCACCCATTTTCACCCGGGTGCAAGAAGTAGCTCCGTTTTGACGAGCGGCAGGTGTTTAGGGCGAGGCACTACGCTGGGCGGGGTCATCGGTGTTCTGGGGATGAGACACCGAGACCTCCCCGCGGAACGGTCTCCGCCCTGCGCGCCCCAGGGCAGCGGGCTAGGGCAGGGCGGCAGGGCGGGCGTAGATGCTAGTAAGTTGGTGTGAATTAAGAAGGGAACGAAGAGCATCTCGAAAACTTGGCCCATTTCACGCAGGCCAGCGCGGGCTGCTCCCGAACGCGTCGCTCCGTCTCTCTCGCACTCGAGCGGCGTGCCGTGTCGGCGCGAGAGAGACAGAGCCGCGAGGCGCCGTTTGGAACCAGCCCGCAGCGTGCAGCGCCACTGGCGGGCCGCAAACGGAGATGACCCGGGCCAGCCGCGCGTAGCAAGGCGTAGCGGGCGGGCCTCAAAAGCGAATTAAACAGTGCAGAAAACGGAGGTTTGAACCTAGCGACCCGGCTCAACCGCCACACTACAAATCCATTAGATAATTTTCTTGCCACTCCAAGCTCCGATTCGAATTGGCCGCGTTGCCCTCTCAGATTGCCCAAATTTGGGGTCCCTGGCCGCCAGAGTGCAAACTTTTGGCATTCTTGGAGAGAAATCCAGAGTCAGAAGGCCAAATTTTCAGTGGGATGGTAAAGTAATAGACTTGCAGTGCAGGCGACGCCTCTCTCACCGCCTTGTCGTTTTGCAGCTACGACGCGCGGGGCGGCGCCCTGTCGCAGGCCAAGCACTGGGCCGACGACACGTTCGGCGGCAGGGCCTTCTTCAGGACGGCGGACAACCCGGCCCAGCTCACGGTGGAGAGCGCCCGCGACCTGGACGCCGGCATGTACCGCTGCCGCGTGGACTTCGGACGCTCGCCCACCAGGAACGCGCGCGTCAACCTCACCGTCATCCGTGAGTACACCGAGGAGTACGCGAAGGAGTACAGCAAGAACTACACCGTCAGTGGCAGTTACCTGTTGCAACCCCTTGGACGCCACGACGTGCGGGTTGCAGCCCCCACCCCCAGCTGGCACCTACCATTACCCCACCCCCGACGTCGGCGACCCTAGCCATGTCACGGCACGCGCCTGCAAAGTCAGCCTTTGTTCGCTCGGAGCGCACAATTTGGGGCTCGCGGTCATATCAGTGGAGTGGACCTCTCGAGACGTGCCGCCTTGGTGCCGCCCGCGTATAGGGTATAGGTGCGAGAGAGACAGAGCGACGAAAACGACTCTCGGAATCAGTGTGCTGGACAACAATTACGCGGTGGCGTCCCCGTTGATCATTTTTATGGTGGCGTACTTGTCCGCGTCGCCATGGCAACGGCTGCGGGAATGCGACGCTGCGCGCGCCTCGCACTTCGCGTCGCGTTACCGTGTCCGGGTCACTCTTCGTTACGGCGTGGAAATGCGCTCGCCGTGACGCGATGGGAGTTGACACGCCAGCGGGCCGACACCAGTTTGAATGTACAGCGCCCGCCGAACCAGCGCCAGCCAGCCGAACCAGATGTACGCGACGGCGTGGCGCAGCGGGGCGGGGCGGGGCGGGGCGGGGCGGGGTGGGGTGGCGGCAGGGCCCTGGTGTAGAGTTTCAAACAGCATAAACAGCCCCTGGCTTGTTTTGCAGTACACACTCCCTTGCTCCCCCAGCCAGCGTGGCTTGAGGACTGTGGCGCGGGGCGTGGCGTGGCGTGGCGTGGTGGGGCGTGGCGGGGCGTGGCGGGGCGTGGCAGTGCGCGCAGCGCGCGCATACCGCCAACTAAGTTTGCCACATTTCTTGGAATTAGGATGCTTTCGGATGGCGTGCGCGAAACGGACCGAGTCTGCCGCCTTCGCCGCCAACTGCACGAAACACAAGCCTTTTGCGTCTTCTCGCCTTTGCCTTCTCCTCTGCGGGATTGAAGAAGGGACATTAACGAATACAGACCCCCTTCCTCCAGGACCCCTTTCCTGCCCAGTCACCGCAAATTACCGGTCAACCGCACCACCCGCCACTCGTGAGCTATTTTGCGACCGGCGGCTGAAAGAGCTTTTGACTCAGTCAATCTGGGAGTGGGCCGCCTGCGCCTGCACTGGCAGTCGGGCAGTCGGGCCACACTCGGCTCCATTCCGGTCCGGTGCGGTCTCCCTGCAGACTGGCTCCGAGAGTCGCTTTCGTCGCTGTCTCTCTCGCACTCATACGGGACGCCCCATGAGTGCGAGAGAGACAGAGCGACGAAAGCGACCCTCGGCTTGTCTGGTCTCCCTCTCCCCGGTGTCGGCCCGGAAGCTTTCAGTGGAGAGGACCCACTCGAAAGGACGGCGGGGACCTTCGGACCTTCGGACCTTCGGACCTTCGGACTCGCCTTCGCCCTCCACGCGGCCCTCCCGAGGGCGTGAGCCGAGCGTGAGCCACATCCCGAGCGGACAAGCCAGCGTCGCAGCAGACTGATTCCGAGAGTCGTTTTCGTCGCTCTGTGTCTCGCACCTACATGGAACACCCCTCTAGTGCGAGAGAGACAGAGCGACGAAAACGACTCGGAGTCAGTCTGCGGCCTGGACACACCGCTGCGCTGCATCTTCCTTTAAATAGCTGGGCACCTTCAGGGGAAATTAGTTTTGAAGTTTGCGTTGCTTTCTTTAGATTTTTCTGTATTTCCAGATATTTTTGTTTGTTTTTAAAGTCCAAGCTTTTCAACGTCCTCGCGCCGCTTGGCTCTCCCCTTCCAGCGGCCCGAAGTAATGACAGCACTGGGGGGAAAGAGCGGAGACAGCCGAGGACTCTTGTGTCCGGAAGTCGATTTCTGATTTGTGTATTACACCCCCCCCCCTCCCGCCTCGAGTCGAGGACGAAAGAACATAGCGTGTCGGTAAAGGCGGTGGCGGCGGCCCACAGTGTGCTGCCTGCAGCGACACCACTAAGAACGCTGAGTGCTCGTGTCACGAGGAGGCGGGGAGGGGGGAGGGGGGACAACCCCGTGTCGAGAGCGGGGCACAGCTGTTTGTCAGGCAGGACTCGTCGCCATCCGGGTCGCGGCAATCTGCTATTGATTGAGTCCCCAATCGAAGCATGATGGTGAGTTCCCCGACCCTCTAATTAAGATTCGGAAACAGACTCACCCACACACACACGCGCACACACAACACGCACGCACACACGCACGTGTAGTGCGGGTAGTAGTGCCCTGTATGGGTGATCACGTACGTGCTAATGAGGCGCTGGCGGTTGCCACAGTCCCTACAGTGGCGTTGCCGCGTGGCGGTGGTGTAGCTGCTGCGGTAATAATAAAGCCGGTAAAACTGACTTCATAAAGTCGCGGCTCATCCGCGCGGCCGTTCGCACCGCCGTGACCTCCGCGGGCACGTGCGCTTTCAGTGTCGTGTCGTCACTCTGTCTCTCTCGCACTTGCGGTACGGTGCGAGAGAGACAGAGAGGTGACGGCGGCATGATGCGGTGGTGATTTACCCCGCTGCCGTGTAAAATGCCTCAAGGATTACCCTCCCCCCTTTCCCCGATTGCCACAGTGATGAGCCACCGTTCATGTATAAGTCAATAATGTTGGCCTTTAATTCAGGTGAGTGGCGCTCGCGGCGCTCATGCATATTCAGGGTGTGGCGCGGCGTGGCGGCGTTGAAACCGGATTACAGCCTGATCACACACTAAACCAGGACCGCGCATCGACGGGCCGCGTAAAGAGCGGAGAAGAAGCGGACAAGAATTTGCATTCGGAAAAAGGGGTGGAGGGGGTGGTGGCATGCTTTCTGCGCGGCGCACAGTGGGCCAGAAGACCGGTGGAGGCGGTCAAAACCCCGGACGGCTTGAGCTCCACAGTCGCTAAATGTGACTCGAATCGATCGTGTGACCCCGCCCATAGATTCCTTGTTCGGAGAGCAGTCCATTGGTGGGGTCACACATTCCCCTCGAGTCCCATTTAGCGACTCTGGAGCTCAAAACGCGTCCGGAATTTTGACCGTCTCCACCGGTCTTCTGGCCCACTGTGCGACGGCGGCCCAACGCCGACAAAAAAAATATGGAAAAATGTAAACAAAAACGCGGTGACGGCGTCAAGGCCGCGTTAGTTATGTAACAAACGCCCTGCTTACGCCACGGCCGCCGCGGCCGCCGCCCCGGGTTGCGTCACGTCATTAGACGCTGCGGAAGCTCAGCCCTCGGGCGTCTTTGTCTGCTTCTAGTGTACCGGCTGCGCCGGGCCACGCCACATCCTGGCGAAGGCGGTGCGGTGGGCACGCATAGCAGACTGCTGCTGAGCGTTGTTTTCGTCGCTCGGTCTCTCTCGCGCCCAGACGGGACGCCAATGAGTGCGAGAGAGACAGAGCGACGGAAACGACTCTCGGAGTCAGTCTGCAGGGAGGAGGCTGCAGCCGCCTGGTTTCGAGGAATCGCCTGCCGCGAGATAGAGCGCCCCCTGCGTGCGACAGAGCCAGAGCGACGAAGCGATGCCTGCGGAGTCAGTGTCTACAGCACCGGTTGGCGGTCCACTTGCCTTTCGGCGCGCCGCATGGGTGCTGCAGGGTGCTCGGTGGCCAAGACCAATTAGCGTGTAGGTCCAGGGCGGCTCGAGGCCCGAGGAGCCGCCGCCGGCGAGAGTCGTACCTGCGACGCCGCGTAGAGGCCAAGCCAGCCGAGTCCAAAGACCTCGCCGCCCAGCCACCCACCCCGCCGCCACCCCGTCCCCCGCCCCGTCCCCAGGGCGCCCTCCCGTCGAACCTGTCCTTGTCGGGCACGGCGAAGGCAGAGCCGAGGCAGAGCGGCCCCGGCCGGGGCCACGTCGTTCGCAGTGTAGGAGCGAGAGCGAGACACAGGAGGAGCAGGACGGGGAGGGGAGCCCATCCTAACTTGCAATAATATATCAGCTGGAGTTCGGAAAGAAGGCGGCCCGAAGTTGGAGCGTCATAGAAGGTGGACCCGTAGGGCAGGTATGGGATGGTAATGTGGCTGGACTTTGCTATTGGCCGCGGGCTTTGTTTCAGAGAACGACCTCCACGGTGGCCTCGCGCAACGCGGAGAAGGCGAAGCACGGTCGATGATTTGGTGCCATGGAAGAGATTGTTGCTCTCCGGGACGGATCGTTCGCCATAACACAGGAATCGTGCTGTTTCGATGAACCACATCTTTATGCACTCTTAAAGTTGTATGTATCATAGAGGTGCAGCTGACTTTATAACGTATGAGAATTCACTGTACCTCACAGATAATTTGACGAATTTCGTCTCTTTTGTGAAGAAAATCTTCACCATGATGTGCAGCCTTTCACCGTTTATCTAGGAGTGTGGAGCGAATTGAAACCACAGAGTGTTTATCAGGACAGCAAATTAAAGTCTGTTAAAATAATAGTTGGATTTGCTAACTGTTTTTAGCGCTGCCCCAAAATGGTCGAGAACTCAAATAACGAAAATGTCCCGTTGTTAGCTGTGGCTTGGTGGAAACTCAGCATGGAGGAACTCACATAACTGTTCGGGGTGGAAATTTCGGAAACAGTTTTGGTGAGCAGGCGGGGGGGGGGGGGGGGGGGGGCAGCACAGTGCGGTTTCGCGCACACTTCGAGATGCAGGCTCACATTTTGGCTGCAAGCTTTGCCACCCTGTCTGCGACGGTCTGCGACGGTCTGGGACGGCCTGGGACGGTCTGCGACACGAGCTCAATCCCACAAGTTGTGCCCCAGTTCCCGGAGGAACGCGGCGGAGGCGGAACGTCTGTGTGAATGGAAAGGAACCGGAGGAACGGGCGCCTCACGCTTCGGCTCGCTTCGACTCGCTATCGGCAGCCGACGGATGGCTAGCACACTGCAGCCTCATTCCGAAAAGTGCATTCTGTCTCTCTCGCACTCACGGGGCGCTCCGCCGGGGTGCGAGAGAGACAGAGGCGCGCTGTTCTGAATCTGCCTGCTGGAGAGCCACGCTGGAGGTGAAGGCAGTGGAGTGGGGCCATTCCGGCAGCGCAGATGCAGCGGGATTGTTTTCAAGCAGACG